CAAGATGCATTATGTAAAGGTACAATTCCCAATGAGAAATGTAATTGTGTTGTATACCTACAATGTACCAATAAAAGAATTTAATTTTTAAAAAAGGAGAAGTTTCCAGAGATTCAAGGATATGGGTCCAGTGATGATCACTCTTGATGGAGTCTATGCTTAGTCACCTAAGTAGAGGCCAGGACCATGAACAAGGTAATCCTGGCTCTTTACCCACCAGCCACCAGTGGCCCTTTCTTCCCCCCCTTGAGTGACCTATTGGAAGGAATACCCTTCTGTAAATCAATTGTTATATACAGGAAATTGAATCAAACTGTTATACCATCATGAATAGGAATCAAAGGGCACCAATCCTTTTGAAAACCCCAAGTATTGACAGGAATACAAAGCAATGCACCCCTACTCTGCCAGTATGAGAACAAATAGGTACAACTATGTTGTACAATGGTTAAAATATGGAACCTCTATGACTCAGCAAACCACTGTTAGGTACATATCCAGAAGAAGTGCATGCATTTAGTCATTAAAAGACATATTCTAGAATAGTTGCGACAACATTATTTGGAATAGCCTCAAACTACAGACTATCTGTGAAAGACTACATTATGCCTCCTCTATCCTATATTGAAGATTTAACTTCTAAGGTGATATATTTAGAAACAAAGCATTTATGGGGGTAGTAAGGTCAAATAGTTAAGGGTGGGGCCTTACTCAAGTAGAATTTCTCCCCTTATAAGAAGGAACACCAGTGTTCTCTCCCTCTTCTTCTTCCTCTCCATCTCCCTCTCTCTTTCTTTCCCCCCATACAGAAAAAGACCACATGAAGACAAAGAGAAAGCAGCTGTCTGCAAACCAGGAAGAGAGCATTCACCAGGAAGTGAATCAGCAGGCACTTTGACCTGGAATCCCTAATCTGCAGAACTATGCCAAAAGGAATTTCTGTTGGTAAAGCCACACAGTCTGCTTTGTTACGGCAGCCTGGGTGAATTAATATATTATCCAAATGCCCAAAAAACAGTAGAATGGGCAAATGATGGCACATTCACACCATGAATGACTTTATAGGACTGATAATGAGCACACTGTAACCATGTTCAACAAGAGAGATGCTCATAAACATCGTGTTGGGAGAAAGAAGATGAGAAAAGAGTGTATGATTCTGTTACTGCAAAGCACAGAAATCAGAAAAAACAAAACTTCAGTCCCCAAGCTTTGTGTTGTCTGTGAATTTAGCCTTATCAGATCATCGATGACACTTCTCCTTTCCAAATGTTACAGAGAAAATGACTATTATGTTGTTTTCTTTTTCAAATATTCGTTAAGCTTCCCATTTTGTCCAGGTTTCACAGTACCTCCTTATCAGCAGGCAAGAACCATCTACGGAAATGTTTTTTTCTTTTACGCGGCTGCCCTCTGGTGGACACTAGGAAAATTCACAGGTAAATATGTGGTTTGTCTCAAAAGCTTTGCTTTGGTCTAATTTAATCTGATTTAATCAGATCCAAGACTATTTGGGTACTTAAAAAAAAATTTTATCCTCCTTTTAAGAGAAGTAAATTCTTTATTTTAGAGTACAGAAGTGATTATATGTTTTTACAATGATGGAAAAGAAATGGTGATTGGGATATACAATATGTACTCTGATTGCTGATGAATAGGAAGTGATGTGGCTCTTTAGTAAAGTGAATTTGCAGAGTATAAAAAGAGTAATTCCAAAAGGGCTTGACCTTTGACTCAGTTTATCTTCTGCAAATTTGGATGTCATAAATAATATTTAAAATGAAAATAGTAATTCCTGAAGTTACTTGTCAAACTGTGTCCATAAATGTCCAACATGCCAATACAGATTGGGGCAGGAGCTCTAGCAACATAGAAAATACACATGCCCCATTGTTCAGAATCAATAGTTCTGAATCAAAGATGTGCATCACAATATCTGAAAACTGAAAAAACAATAGATGTCCAGGCCCTTCCAAGAAGATTCTATTTCACCTAGACCAGGGAGTGGCCTGGCCATTAAAATTTTAGGAGAGCCCTCTAAGAGATTTTTCTATCTACACTTCTGATTTTAAAAAGTCTCAAATGAAGAAAATTAAAGTCAGATTCCAAGTGTCATTTTAGTATAAACTTTTATTCCATAAGACATCTGAATGCATGTTGACTGGAAGGAGAAAGACAGAGGGCCCTATATCCGAATGACCTGGGCCCTATATATGAATATATTCCACCTATCCTATCAAGACACTTGCAAAACTTAGAATCCTGTTCAAGGATTCTGGGGCTGCAAGCAGTAAACAAAGATGTGTGTAATATCATTTAATATTATATTTTTAAATGAGTGATTTTTTCCAAATATCGAAGTAGAAATTAGCTTTCTGTGGCTGCAGTTAATGGGATTTTCAGCTGATTTGCATATGGTACAGTCCTCTGAGAGCCATAAAGTATCCCAAGCATCTCTGATTCACCCCTCCTATGGCCACCTAAGCCAAAGACAACCCAACAGCCTTAGGCTATGTGCTAAGAGAAGCAGGCACCTTGGAAGAAAAAAAAAACCTAGGCCTGGTTTTGAGTTGCTGCCAACTGAAGGAGTGATCTTGAGTGAATCCATTGGCATCTCTGTGCTCACTGTACAATGAGATATCAGGTCCAAACCTACCTGTTTTCAGGAATGAGGTAATATCGGAGAGAGAAATGGGCCAGGTACAGGACAAAGAGGAATGGTGGGGAGTCTGGAAACTCCTACTCAATTCCTGCAGGTTCCTCCATCACAGTTGCAGGGAACCCTTCCTTGTGCAGGCTGTGCAGGAGGTAACACTTCAGAGGAAGTGTCATTCCCACCACAAATACAGATGTTTATCAACAGTTTCCTGGAAGATATGTGTAAAGGCTTTTAAGGAAACAGTACCTTCTAATATGCATGAAAATGCTCTATGTGCTGTCAGAAGTCCTGTTTATCATATGGGAATGCAGCTCTATTGTTTCCAGATATTCTGGTTTTGTTTCTAGAGAAGTTGGATATACAGCATTTAATATAAAGTTCCTATAATAAAATTAGCTGGCAACTAATTCCAAAACATTTTTAATACTGTGTGGACTAAATAAAACATGTCTGAGTCTCAGAGTCAGGTAATGAGTTGTAGATCTCTGGACTAGAGGAATTCAAAGTAACTGGCAGTTTAGAAACTCTCCTATTCTGTGTGAATCATATGTAGTCTTGAGGTAATTGCAAAGAAAAACTAACTACCCTCTTGAATTATATGGATATAATAAGGATTTATGCAGATATAAAAAGTAAGAGTGCATCCTTTCCATGATGGTATGTAAAACATTCTCCCTATCATATGGATAACTTCAATTCATCTTTTTTTAAACAGTACTGGGGATTGAACCCAAGGCCTTCGACTCATTTTTTTTTTAATATAAATGCTATTTCTTCAAAGAGGTCTATTAATACATCAATCTAAATTAGATTCCTTCCATTATATTTTTAAAGACACATTGCTTTTCCTGGGAAGCACTTATCAAATTTAAATCATAGGTTACTCACTTGCATGAACATTTTCCTAATGTCTGTTTACTTGCTGTCTGGCCATATTTTTATTCATCACTGTATCCCTTGTGAGGAAATCCCTGGTATATCCAGTGAAGAAATTTGGTGTGTGTTTGCTGAATGGTGGGTTAGTCTTGATCCTACCAGGGAAGTCTCTCTTCTGCTTGGTGTCTCTGATCTGACACTTGATGCCTGATGTATGTTTTCCGTGCTGAGAATGATGCTCTCTAGCATCACCCCTACCCCCTCACAGCTCAAATGAGCTAGAAAAGAGACCCTTCACAAATCTAGAGATTTCCAGGACTTCCTTACTTGGCTTCTGGCTAAAGCTGCCCTGGATTGGGGTAAAGGAACTTGCATTTTAGGTAACAGACACAGACACTTCCTCTGATAAAAAGTCCACTTCATCTTGGATTCTGGGTACAGGGGAAGAATTATCAGCACAGCATAAAAGTATCCTCTCTGGATATAATTTGTATTCTGCTTTTATTTCACATGAATCACAAGAGCATTCTTGTGACAACTAATGGGCCAGCCCTCCTCCAGACTTACTGAGGAAACCTTGCTGCCTTCCGAGACTGTTGCATTTTTTAATGTTGAAAAGAATTTCATGAGGATGATCCTGAAGTCCATAACACATCAGCTAAGTAGTTTATTCCACAAAGATCCCCAAGAGAAAGCAGTCAAACTGAAAATGAAGCCAATGATGGAGGGAGAAACTTCAAAGAATGAGGAAAACTAAAATCATGCAAAGATGACTTCTAAGGAGCAAATGAGAAAAAGAAAGGCAAGGACAGAGAAAAGAAGATTAAGGAGGAAAGAGGTCTGAGAAGAGCTTCAGAGGCTGACATGATCAGAGGAAAGATATTAGTCCAAACTTCCACTCTCTTTTCTTTCAGTCTCTGTCCAAGGCTCATGTTCAAATTCAGCATCAGGTACTGCTCTGTCTGATTGTAGGCTGGCCACAGAGGCAGATCATTTCCATTAGGATTTCTGGAAATAAAAGCACACATGAAGGTAAGTTTTTTTTTTTTTCTCCAGCACCTGGTGTGGGGGAAGCCACCAGGGTCACCTACCCGCTATGAGCAAAATTAGCCCAGTATCTCATCATCTTCCTGCTCAGAAATTTCTCCTCTTTCATAGCTCCTTCTGCAGGAGACAAACACAAATCCAGCTGCTCACAAGCATTCCTCAGAAGCCCAACATCAGCTTACCAAGTCGTGGCACCCATTTCATATGTGCAGATACTGAGGCTCGATGCTGCTGTGCTTCGCCCAAGGAATTGTGGTTGCCAAGTGATAAAGACCAAATGCACATCTTCCCTGTCTAACTCCTGCTCTTCCCATCATTCCCATGAAGCTGCAGGTTCCTTGGGAACTAAAATTTCTGTCTGTCTCTCTCTCTGCCGCTCTCTCTCTCTCCCCGTCTCCATCTCTCTCCCTCTCTCTCTCTCTCTGTGTCTCTCTCACACACCCATATGTACACATGCACACACACACACTTTTATACACAATTAATTACAAGTTTCCCTCAATTTTCCCAGGGGATTTGTTCCAGGATGCCCTACAAGCATCCAAGGATGTTCAAATCCCTTATATGGAATAATACAGTTTTTGCATACCACCTATGCACATTTTCACTTGTATTTTATCATCCCTAGATTGCTTATAATATATAATACAATGCAAATGCCATGTAAATAGTTGTTATGCTGTATTGTTTAGGGAATGATAAGGAAAGCTCTGTACATATTTAGTACATATGTAATTTCCCCAAATATTTTCAGTCTGCAATTGATTAAAGCACAGATGTAGAGAGCTAACTGAGGTGTATTTCTGTATTTGAAAAGACAATACCTTATTAAAGTACAAAATCCAAAATGCAGGAAGAGTACCTAATTCTACTATCTAATAAAAATAAGTTATGTTCCTGTCACTTCCTTCCAGACACCCAGTTAACACCTCAGAGACAGCCATTATAATACCAACTTCCTGAGCACCCTCCCCCAGGATAGGCTCCACAGCTGCACAGGAACAGTAGGCAGCTTTCTACACATTTGGCCATATATTGGACACATGTACTGCATATTATTCTTTTTATTGAATTTGTGTCTAAGAGATGATTCTCTATTTTCCCCTATAAAGCTGCCATTTGTTGTCCTATAAATATATATTAATTTAAATATATATGTGCGATTGTATTCATATAATGTATGCACCCAATATTTTATTGATGGATTTTTACCTTGTTTCTAATCTTCTGTTGGTTAAAACAATGTTTAATGTGCACATATGTTTTGTACATGTGAAGTATAGTTATACAAAAAAAATCCTAGAAGTAGAACTCTCAAGCTAGGGCCGGGGAGTTACCTCAGTGGTGCCGCTGCCTGCCTCTCAAGTGCAGGGTCTCGAGTTTGATCCCTGGTACCAAAAAAAAAGATTCTCAAGCTAAAGATTACACACATTGATAGGGGTTTCTATTAATGTATGAAATTGTCTGTTTCCCATACTTGCTGGAATGCAATGTTTAAAATATATTGTTCTTAGAAATCTTGATTGATGACAAATAATTCTCCCAGCTTGATAAAGTAACAGAGAGGGAGAAAGTTACTGTCATGAGCATCATTAATCCAACTAAGGACCTACTGGCTGACGTGATTGGATGCCAGGGACTTCCTGAAGACCAATGTAAAAAAGTATACCAGCTAAAGGATTTGTTGGACCAGATCCTAATGTTGGACCCAGCTAAACGAATTAGCATCAACCAGGCCCTACAGCATGCATTCATCCAGGAAAAAATTTAAACGAGATGAAGAAACTCCAAGGGTTTGAGTAATTAAATACAAAGACTGAAGAAATTTCACAGCAGTTTATTATTAATGTATATAAACTTATAAATATTTCTCCATCAAATTTGAGGAAGCATGATATATTTGAATTAACACCAAGGGTGATATTTCTTTTAGAAATGTTAGTTAATCTATTTTGTGTCTTATGTGAAGTTGCACTGTAGAACTGTTTTAATTGCCAAGACTGCACATAATTACAGTGCTAATGTATATGGTTGCAGCTCACATAAAAGACAAAAGCATCTGTTATGAAATGAGTAGTAATACTGGGTGGTTGATTCATTTTTAGCAGACTTGGCTTCATTTTGGTCTTCAGATGAAATGGCCAGCATAAATGCGGTTTATATTCACATTCTCCTAGGTGTGTGTGTGCAGGCCACAGCAGCATGCCCTGGGTGTGATCAGTGCTGAAAGGAGTCTGTTCCTTCTTGAGCCTACCTGCAGGGATGTCTCCTCTTTTAAAGCAGGCTGTGTACAACATTCAGTACACTGAAGGTAAGCTACCATCAACATCACTGGTGTTTTAAGATGTCCTTTTATTGGAATAATTGACAAATGAGGGATATTAGCTTTGTGGCAGAACTCCCTGCATGTGTGATAACTGATCTTGTTTTATTTTTTGGCATCACAATTGTGGCATAGTTACAATTTCTGTTCTGTTCATCACATTTAAAATTTGAAAAGTATGCACTTGATGGATAGAGTGCCTTCAGTGTACTGTTTCTTATTAACTTTACTTTTTTAAAATCAACTTGCTATAGACTTTATATACATTTTGTTAAATACAGTTCCTAGTGACATAGAAACAATGCATAGTTTTCATTTACTAATTACAAATGTTGAGGCCTAACTCTGAAAGTCCTCATATTTAAGGTTAGATAGACAACATAATGAAATTTTTAACTATTTGTATGTCATTTTGAAAGTGTACTGCTTTATGGTAACAATGTTTTTCATTTGTTCATTGTTTTCATTATTTGTGATCATGTTGTCTTTCAATACAGGCATAAACCTTCCACTCTTGAACAAAGTAGCTGCTTTTTAAAAGCAGTAATTGCTTCTTTACCTTTTATTTCTTTTGTAAATGAAGCTTTTCTTTCAGAATGTGACCTTACAGTGTTGTCTATTGCATAAAACAGTTGACAGTCACTTACTGTAAAGTGAAGATTGTTCTACTGCATGTGAAGTGGGCATGCAGATTTCTGTATGTTCTCAGTATGCATCACTAGATGATAAAGTCTTTTTGTTAATGAGGAAAAATAATAATAATAATAATATTAATAATAATAATAATTCTCCCGCCAAGGATAGTCTACAATTCTTTTGCTGAGAGTGACACTGAGCGAATTTTCATATCCTCAGAAGGCATTGTGTCTCCTCTTCCATAAACTGTATGTTTACATGTTACCTCACCTGGGATCAGGCTGTTCTTTTCTAATTACCTTTAGGAGCTCTAGATATCAAGGAACTTAGCCCTTTGATACACAGGTTTTTCATTCCTTACAGTTTGGAGAGTCTGTATGCTATCACATAATACAGGCTCAGTAATAGCTATTGAGTAAGAATAGTGACATTTATTAAGCACTCGTTGTGTACTTTATGAAAATTGTGCCATTTCAGCCTCGTGACAATGTGGAAGGCAGTACCATCATTATCTGTGTTACGAGGATGAGTAATGAAAATAAGGAATAAACCACAGCCCATAAACATATTCTGTATGGGAGGCTCTGTCCTAATTGTCCAGAAGGAGTTAGTAAAGAGCCTGCATTACATAATGTTTTAATTACATATTTATTAATTATATTTATTATCATTTTTATGGAGTTTTTTCTATTGATAGCCTCATCTAATTGGTTGGCTATTTTAGTCACTAAACTCATCAGAAACTCAAGAATAAATAAGCTATCATCATTAGTAAGAGTTCAAAATCTCTTCTGGCTGCAGACATGTTGAGCTGAAATTATTTAAAAAGGGGAGGGGTCTTGTGTTTTAAAGTCCTGGGTGTAAGCCTCAAAGGAATTCTAGGATGCACAGGGACAGTGAGACCAGTGATCATAGAAATGGTTCTAATTTTTTTCAAAAATTAGATCACTTGAGTGTCCCAAAGCACCCACCTCTCAGGCTTTGGTACAAAGTGAAACACTCATCTAGAAAACATTCACTGGTAGCTCTTTTTGTCTTGGTCTCTGAAGCATCTGAATGGGGACATTTTCCAGACAAAAGGTATGTCTGTCTGTAAGCCATGGTGGTGATTACATCAGAACTCACCGGGCCTCCTGGGCTAACCTTCTAAAGAGAATTATAGACTGTTCTGCGCTGAGGAATCATTTGTTATCAACCAAGATTTCAGTGAAAAATGTATTATAAACATTGCATTCCAGCAGATGTGGGAAACAGTTTCATGCATTCATAGAAACTTCATTAACATTTAACACATGTGTAGTCTTTATCCTGAGAATTCTACTTTACTTCTAGAATTTTTTGTATAATTATACTTCTAGATGAACAATAAACATTTGTGCACCCGAGGCATTGACTTAACCATCAGAAGATTGGAAACAATGTAAAAAATCTACCAATATAATAATAGATCCATGCATTATATATTTAAATATAATTGTATAAGTATATATTAAATTTACATACAATATGTTTGTAAAACAACAAGTGGTAGTGGTGGGTCAGGAACCACATATTACCAGGAGAAACCTACCTCATTCCCTACCTCATTCCAAGTTCCATGTTCCTGCAAGGGCTGGAGCCCCTGTGGCCAGTTTCTTACCAAACATAACAACATCACCCATCAGGAAGGCACCTCCAAAGACAAAGCAGATTTCATCAGAGTGGTCAGCTTTGACAAAGGCTGGTTTTGTGTCTTCAAAGCACTGGGGCCAGTGTTGAAATTCATAGAAGTAAACAGGTGTGCCAGCATCTGACAAACGTCAGAAAGGTCAAGCATGCATTTTGTTGGAGCAAGGGGCTGGCCCTTCGTCCCTCCCTATGAAATCCTAGATTTACAGAACCATGAGCAGGACAACTCAGACGTAAGAGGTGATCTAAACCAACCTAACTTTCCCCCTTTTCATTTGAGGCTGAAATTCTCTGCTATAGCAGCCCTGGTGACACTGAGTCCACAACCATTCAGGGCAGTTTGAGAAGGCATTTGTTCTTGTCAGCAAACAAAAGCTCTTCATACTAAGCCAAGATCTACCCTCATTGACTCTCCTTCCAATGTCTAGAGTTTAAACAGAGTAAGACTACTTCCCTGCTTCCAAGAAAACTCACAATCCATACATGTGAACCTACAGGCCTTGACCTCTCTTCTACTAAAGGTTTTTGCTCTGTAGTTTCCAACACACATGTGCACACACATACACACAAGCATGGACACACTTGCACAACACAGTCTCTCACATAGGCACACATTAACACACATACACACTTGATTTCCATTACCCCTCCAGTTGTTGAACCATTTCTCTGCATCTCTTCCAGCAATACCCCACAATATAGTTGCTGTCTTAGCGATTTTTCTCTTGCTGAGACAAAATACTCGACACCCAAAGTTAAAGGGGGAAAGGTTTTTTTGGCTTATAGTTCATAGAAGTTTCAGTCCATAATCAGCCTGCTTCAAGGCAGGGTGGCAGAGGGGCAACAGTTCATGGTGGCAGAAGACAGCAAAAGCAACAAGGGACCTTAACAGCATCTTTCTGCCCTTTTTATCCATTCTAGACTACTGGAGTTAGGGCAGTGCCAAACCAATCACTCAGGTGTAGTGGTTCAGTAATCACATGCCCTTAATCCCAGACTCACACATTCCAGATTCAGCCACCTCTGCAAAAGCCTATGACCACATGAGGCTTTGGGGGAACATCTAGACATAAACCATAACTGTTGCCTTGTGTGTAATGTCTCTACTTCCTCTCCTCTTATTCTCTTTTAAAGTTGGTAATAAATGGGTAATAAAATGTACAGATTTTAAGTGCAGTGTTTGGTGTGTTTTTATAAACATATACAGAGTCATGCACCATCACCCCAATCAGGACATAGAGTATTTTCACCACCCAAAATGTCCCCTCTGGTCACTCACTCAAGATACAGGCAATCTTCTCATTCCTATTACTATAAATTAATTTCACTTGCTCTGGAACTTCACATAAATGAAATAATACAACATGTACTCTATTATATACTTCATGGCTTCTTTTGATAATCATAACTTTTTGAGATTTGTGCATGTTGTTTCAATAGTCAATTCCTTTTTACTGCTGAGTACTATGTTATTGCATGAACACACTAAAATTTGTTTATCCATTCATTCATTTAGGTTTTTTCCAGTTTGGGGCTCTGATGATTACATAAATATGAATAGGCATGTGTAAGTCTTTTGTATGGACATGTACTTTCACTCTCCAGTGAATACCAAGAAACAGGATGATTGAACAATTGGATAGGTGTGCTTAAACTTATAAGAAACAGAGTTTTCAAGGCGGCTGTACCATTTCCCTTTCCTACTAGTAGTTTCTGAGAGTTCTGAACATTCCACATTCTTGGCAATACTTCTTGGTATGATTTGTGTTTTAAACTTAGCCTTTCTACTGAGTATAAATGGTTACTTTGTTTTGGGTTCATTTTGTATTTCCTTGGTGATTAATGTTGTTGAACATTTTTCATGGGCTTTGAGATGTTCCTGTACCTTTTGTGAGAGATCTTTTCAGATATTTTGCCCATTATTGCAAAAGAGTATTTTTTTTATGAACTCCAGTTCTTCTATTCTGGGTATGATTTCTGTGAGACAATTGTATTTTGAATATTTTCTTCTGGTTTCTGGTTTGTATTTTTATTTTTAGCAGTATTTTTTAGGTAAAATTCACTTAACATAAAATTCACTTTAACCATTTTACAAAACATATGTAATTCAGTGATTTTTAATACCCTGAGAATGCTGTACAAATATCACCACTATTTTTATCCAGAACATTTTTATCATTCCAAATAGAAATCCCACATCCATTAAACAGTCACTCCATTTAACCCTCCCCTCAGCCCTTGGAAAACACAATTCTTTCTAACTCCATGGACTTGCCTAATTTGGACATTTCACATGAATAGAATCATACACATGTGTTTTTTTAGTGTCTGGCTTCTTCCACTTAATGTTCTCAAGATTCACTTATGTTGCAGCCTATTGTAGCCATATTTCATTTATATGAGCACCTTTATATTAATAGTTTGCAACTTCAGCACCGTGCTTTCAGTAACAGAATAGCTACACAAAATATAAAGAAAATAGAAGACTTGAGTAATACTACAAATTAGCTAGACCTAGTAGACATGGAAAGAACATTGCACCCAACAGTATTAGAGTCCATATGCTTCTTAAGTGCACATGGAATATCCTCCAGAATAAAATATATTTTAGTTCACAAAATATATCTCAACAAATTTAAAAGGACAGAAATCATACAGAACATTTTCTCTGATCATAATGGAGTGAAATTAGAAATCAACAACAAAAGGAAACCTGGAAAATTGACAAATATTCAGAAATTAAATAGTGTATTATTTTGTACATTAAAAATTGTGCTGAAATAAACGTAACAAAACATTTACTAGTTTAACCTTTTTTAAAAGGACTATTCAATGGAATTACATGCACATTATTATGCAGCCATGATAACTCTACATCTTCAGAACTTTTGCATTACTCAAAACTGAAACTTTTCTAATGAAAAAGTAACTTCCCATCTCTCCACTTAGTCCCTAGTACCAAGATTCTACTTTATACACTTATAAACTTGACTATTTTAGTTACCTCATGTAAGTGGAGTCATATAGTGTTTGTCCTTTTGTGTTTAGCTTATGTCAGCATAATGCCTCAAAGTTCATCCATTTGAACTGTGCATCATGATTTCCTTCCCTCTTAAGACTGAGTAATAGTTCATCATATGAATATATTTGGTTTATCCATTTACTGATTAATTGACATTTGGGTTGTTTCCACCTTTGGTTATTCTGAATAATGCTTCTATGAACATGGGTATACACATATCTGTTCAAGTTCCTGCTTCCAATTCTTTCGGGGGTATACCAGAGCTGGAATTTCTGTATGATATGATAATTCTATTTTTAATTTTATCAAGACCAACTGTATTATTTTCCATAGTGGCTGCACTATTTCATTTTCCTACCAGCAATATATAAGCATTTTGATTTCTCTATTTTTTCACCAATAATTATTTTCTGTAGTTTTTTTTTCAAAAAATAATAGCTATCCCAATTGAGTATGACTGATACCTTATTATGACTTTTGATTTGCATCTCCCTAATGCTTAGAGATGTTGGGTATCTTTTCATATACTTTTTAGAGATTTGCATCTTTTTTACAAAAATGTATTTTCAAGTCCGTTGTTCTTATCTGAATTGAATTTTTTGTGGCTGATTCCTAGGAATTCTTTATATATTATGCACATTTGTTCCTTATAGATATATGGTTAGCAAATATTTTTCCAAATTTGTGGGCTGCCATCTTACTCTGTTGATCATTATTTTCCTGCCCCTTTCTCTTTCTTCTCCTTCTTGAGCACTTATTATGCATACATAAATATGCTTAATGGTGCCCTTCAAGATTCTTAGGATTGGCTTATCCCTTTAATTTTTTCTTCTTCTAGATTGAGTAATTTCAAATGACCTACTTTCATAGTTTCTTATTTTTTCTCTGAATGCTCAAGTTTGCCATTGACCTTCTCCAGCTTATTTCCCATTTCAGTTATTGAAGTATTGAAGTTTTCCTTAGGAAAACTTCACGCTGAAGTAAAGAAATTCAACCCCAGAATTTCTATTTGTTTTCTTTTAATAATTTTATAAATTCTATTTATATTCTCTCTTTGTGCTCATGATTCCCTTTAGTTCTTGTACATGATTTTCTTTAGCTATCTGGATATTTTTTAAATAATTGATTTAGTCTGCCCAGTAATTCCAATGTCTTGATTTCTTCAATGACAGTTTCCATTCATTTCTTTTATTTTTGTTGTGTATGGGCCATACTTTCTTGTTCCATTGCCTGTTGTAGTTTTTTATTAGAAAGTCTTTCTTCCCCCCAAAGTTTCATTGTTCTGCCTTTCCTCCCAACATTTTCAGCTTGTTTATTGTTTTCCCTATCTGATAGCTTTTGTTCCTGATTGCAGAAACTAATATAATTACATTTAAATGTTTCTAACAGACACCTTCAAGGTAACTGCCCATCCTTAGTAGAGCTCTAATTTGTTTCTAATAAAAGCAAGCCATTTAGGAAGATAGTCATTTTAGGCTAGTCATTTTGGAGCCACTAGACAAGTCGAACCACAATTCTTTGGGAATAACATTCATTTTTTTCCCTCCAGTACTAAGATACTATACAATTAATGTGGGTTACTGTAGTTCAAGGTCATTGCCTTGCTGGGTAGCAGAGGATGCTTCAAGAGTAAAAGAAAATGCCAGAGTCTTATTACTGAGACTCAAGGAGTTACGTCTTAATTAAATGTTTATGTACTAGTTAAAAAATTTTAATTTTTTTTCAGAGCTCTGTCAAAACTGCTGGTTCTTGCCTGTTTATTCACTATTTTTGTGGGGTGTGGGTGTAGAAATTCTACATTTCTTTGTTCTTTTTGGCCTCATTAATAACATCTTTTAATATGCAAAAACAATTTACTTATGTAAAATTTCAGTTTATGTATTTGGTTCTATAATTATTCTCAAATTATTAGTATGTATGGTGTGAGTTAGTGACTGCAGTTTATTTTTTTTCACATATATATTCAGTTATTCCAGCTCCAATCCCTAACTGCATAAAAGTGGGTCTATTTTGTGGACACCCCACTCTCTTCTCTTGATCTATGTTTCTATCCTTCAGCTGATATGAAACTTGATCTACTGTAGCTCAATGATAGTCTT